ATTTTCATCCCCTTTAAGTTGAGGGGGAATCCCTCGTCCCCTTTTTAATGTCCTGTTTTATCATATTAGGATGTCTCTATTTAATTGTCTCATACCTTATTTATTAAAATTTGTGTGGCTCAAAATCATTCTTACTTTATTATTACTTTATCAATTAATATTAACCACACAAATCCACTTTTCTTAAAATTCGTGCCACTCTCTTCCGTCCCAATAAAAAAGGGACGTATGTAGTAGCTAATACGAAGTATAAACTAAAAGAAGTATATAACTGAATGTTACAAAGTATATACTATACAGTATATAATAAACTAATAAATGTTAGTCCGTTTAGTGATTGTTTTACGCTCACATAATCACCTTAACATATTACCTTTTGATGTTTGATGCTCCAGTATTAAAGATGTATTTCAAATCCTTAATTCACAAGTTACATATGATATATATTTAAATATAATAAAGTGGATTACTTTGTTGATATGGTTAGATAATTCCTCTTGCATGCATGTTATCGAATTTAATTGCACTACTATTTCATCTTTTGGATTTTGATAGTGATGGAGTATATGGCCCAGGAACCCCCGGCCCATAGACTCCTACTTCTCCTACACAAGTCCATTGAGCTCAGGAAACAACTCAGGCCCGAATAAAACGGCCCAAGCCTCAAAGTAGCCCAAAATACATATTGGGGTGCCTTCGGCCTCCTTGGCCGAAGGCTCCAAAACTCACAGAATAGCCTTCTCTGGCATAAGAAGCTACTGGGAGAAAACGGCGAAAAACATGAGCCTTCGGCACTATCAAGCCCTCGGCATCAGAGAGGCCTTCGGCTGAACCAAGCTTCCGGTCACACAAGGCCTTCGGCTACACAGGGGTCCTTGGTTACATGGAGCCCTCGGCTACACAAGGAGCCTTCGGCCAAACACGCTCAGTCATCAAAAGATTCCTTTTAGAGACAGCCAACCACCGCATTTAATGCCATGTCACATCCGCCAACCGCATTCAATGCGGTGGACGCACCACTGCCGGTGCCAACCGGCTGATGTGACCCTTCGGCCGTTGGATTACTGACACGTGTCCTCTCATCGCATTTATTGCTGCTATAAATAGCAGCCCATTTCTCCTTGTAAACGATCCCAACTCCACATCTCGAGTTCATTTAATAAATCGACTCTCTCTCCTCCTATTTGCTCTGACTTCTCTCTAGTTATTCCCGCAATAACCTCTCGGATAAGATACCCCCCGGGTAGACTGTCCATCATTTGGTGCTCTCGTTGAGAGGTCAGAACAATCAAGTAAGAAACCCTCCCCCTCTACCAAATACGAAACACTTACCAAAAATGGGAAGAACCACTCGTGCCCAATCCAAAACCCTTGAGGAGAACCACGTAGCCCCCGGCAAAACCAACGGGGCTGAGACCTCTAACAGGATCTTAGTGCCCGAGGGCGGAATCATTCTCGAGTTGGAGCAGGCTACTGCTGACCTCCGTCAGCAGCTACAAAAGAATGCCCCTGATGCCCGCATTGGCCTTGATAATCGAAGGAGGGATCGGAGTGAGAACCAAGTTCCCCCTCCGGCCTCGGCCATCGATCTTCAGGCTGCCTTTGCGGCCTTTGTTCAAAACATGGCTCTCAATTCCGGAGCCCTCGCCTCTCAGGCACCCCTTCAGCCCTATGCTGGAGGGAATGTTATCAACCTACCACCACTCCCTCCTTTGTTCAACAACCCTCCCCCAGGGGTTGGCAATGCCGAGGGGGTCATAGCACAGGATACCGCCTCCCAGGAGGCTCAATCCAGGGATAAGCGCCCCATGATGAAGGAGAAACCCCGGACATCTGCACTTGAGAGACTTGGGGGAGCTCCCGGACGTCGAGGGGTCTAAGACCGCCTCGGCAAGCAGGAATTCAGCAGGCCTCAAGAGAGTAGAGCCTCCGCTTCGGGGGCCGAGGGTGTGCCTCCCCCCCGAAGCAAAGGCAAAGCCCTCCTCCATGCCGATGACGCCAGGCACCAAATCAATTAGGCGCAATCCTTCCGGGCCAACTCCCAAGGGGTTGCCCCGAAGGATCCCAAGGACGAAATCATCGAGGCCCTCCTCCGTCAACTTGAGGAGAATCGTCAGGCACCCCCGACAGCTTCCACAGCAAGGCCAGATCCGGAGTATGCTGACCTCCGGGCACAAGTGGAAGAAATGAAGCGCAAACTTGCCGAAGGCTCCGGCGAGCCCCTCATTCAACTCCGCACTAGGGCCTACCGCACCACCCCTCGGCGCGCGAGAGGCGAGACACCCTTCTCTCTGTGCTATGGCTTCGAGGCTAAGGCACCAACAGAGGTTACCCTTCCTACCCGAAGAGTGGAGCAATATGAACCCGAGGTCAACGACGCCAACATGGCCCTCGATCTCCACCTCATCTCAGAATGCCGGGAGCAAGCCTTCCTCAGGGCTGAAAACTATAGAAGACAGGTCAAAGGCTACATCGACGCCAAGGTCCGCTCCCGGGAATTTCAGGTGGGTGACTACGTCCTCCGAAGAAGGGAGGCCAGCCTACCCACCGAAGGCGGCAAGATGGCGCCTAAGTTTGAGGGCCCCTATATTTCTCAGCCATCATCAAGCCAGGGACATACAAGTTAAAACGCCCTAACGGGACGGAGGTCCCTAGATATTGGAATGTGCACCACCTCGTCAAATTCTATCAGTAAAACATGAGTGGCCGAGCCCTCATCCTCAACAAGTGTAACGATCAATGGCCCAAGGCCCCTTCCGTTTTGAAAGAATAATCAAAAGGCCAAGCCTTCATCACCTATATGTCACACAAACGGCCCAAGGCCCCTATCTCTCCTGAAAATGAGTGGCCAAGCCCTCATCTCTCCACCAAAATAGGCCCAAGACCTCCTCCCCCCATAAGGAGGAACACCAATTCAGGTACCAAGTACCAAGTGTATGGGTCACCCCCATCACTCTTTGAAAACACCAAGTGTTTTCTCACTAAGCCGTACCCCACGAGGACGCAATCATGCATACATTGTGCATACTAATACATACTCTATCCTCCAAAAAAAAAACGGGGGGTGCAACACCCCTCGGCCCCGGCTGGCACCAAGTGCCCCCGGCTATTTGTGTTCCACACATAAATAAAACCCTTCCCAGGAACGCTTTCCGCGCCATCCCCCAAGGGGAGGCAGGCAACAGACCATGTCCCGGGCCCAGGATTCGACTTCCACAAACGAAACGCTCCCCGCGCTATCCCCCAAGGGGAAGCAGGCAACAGACCATGTCTCGGGCTGAGGGGACGACTTTCAAAACCGAGGCGCTTTCCGCGCTATCTCCCAAGGGGAAGCAGGCAACAGACGATGTCTCGGGCCGAGGAAACGACCCTCAAACCCTTCGGGATATCGGAAGGTCATTCCCGAAGGGGGAGCCAACGGTTCATTCCGTTGGCTCCCATATAGGCCAAGCCTTTCCTAGAAACCAAGTTTCTAGATGCCTCTCCTACATCATTCAAAAAAAAAAAAGATGTGTAGGGGGGAAGGAACTCCCCGGATACTATTCTCCCCGGAGGCTCAACACTTCGGATATATATTCCCGAAAGGCTCCTACAAAGGCACGAGAAAATCTCTCAGCAACAAGTCATCTGGCTACGTAGCCTTCGGCTTCCCTACATGAAGCCTTGGAGTACAATAATTCCCCCGGAGGCCCAGGAAGAGGGCTCACTAGCAAAACTTCACCTAAATTTGGCTAAGTCCGGAATTTGGCTGGACCAAAGCCAACCATGCTTCATGACGAAGGCTGCACAAAGTCTAACTACATCTACCAGGAGCCGAGGGCTTCATGCCGAGGGCAGAAAGCTACCGAACTCACTCAATGGTGAAAAATTTCCTAAGTCCACAAACGGGAACCCCTCGGTGGGCAAACATGGACTTCGCTGCTACCAACAGGCTTAGAGCCGAAGGCAACCTCAAACTACTCGACAAGGACCTAAAACTGCACTATGAGTCGAAGGCTCAGCAACGTCGATGGCCTACGGTGATATTAGCTTAGAAAATTTCCTAAGTCTAATTCCTCCTGGCCCTCGGTCTCACTACTACAAACATCCGAGGGGTCCTGATTCTACACTGCGACCGGAGGCTCATGACAAAGTTCTCACTTAGAAAATTTTTAAGTCCACAACCACAGGCCCCCGGTGATTCTACACTACATCCGAAGGGTTCTGATTAAGTTTTACTCAGACGGCTTCTGACAACTTTTTCACTGAGAAAAGTTTCTAAGTCCACAAGCTTATGGCCCTCTGGCAAACACGAGGAAGAAGGGGAAAACATACATTCATTCAAACAAAGGTAGACAGTAAAATAAAAGCGAAGGTATTCATTCCAAGAAGCCCGGAGGCAAAGCATTCACCATTGAGAAAGAAATATTCAAAGTGACGGAAGGTGTTTCTTTACATACACAGGCCGAAGCCGGAAACTATCATGTCTATTACATCAAGGGTGTTACAAAACAATACTAAGTGTCAGCTGCTGAGGCCTTCATCCTTCGGCTTCGAGGTTACATCATCCTCGGCATCTTCATCATCATCTGAGGCCAGCCCGTCAAGTTCTGAATCCTCCAGCAGCTGTCTCTCCTCGCCCTCGGGAAGGGGGATCCTGATGTTTGGAACTAACGGAGGGAGGCCATGGGTCTCAGGCTTAAAATCTTTTTGGTCCATGCCAAGGTGCCAGGCCAGCCTCCGGTATAGCATGGCTTGGGTGAAGTATTGGCCCCCCTCATAAAAGGACTTGCCCTTACGGGCTAGCCACATGGCCCCAGGGCCTGTCACCCATTCTTCAACGAGCTCCGGCACGACCGAGGCCATCCACTCCTGGTGGCTCTCAGTCCTCCAGCCCCCAGCCTTGAAGGCATCGATGGCACCCTTCGCCGCATCAGCTACCGCCTCCTTCTTGGCAACATCGGCAGCATCGGCGGCGGCCTTGGCAGCCTCAGCGGCAATCCTCTCCGCTTCTGACTTGCCCTCGGCCCGAGCTTCCTGCCTCGCAGCCTCCAACTTCTGCTCAGCCTGCCGGAGGGTCTCTTCTAAGGCAGCCAGCTGCCTGATGGCCTCGGTGTTATTTGCGATAAGTTTCCGCATGGCCTCGTCAGACTTCGCCTTCTCAACCCGGTGCTGTTCCGCCCTCCGGACGAGCTCCCCGAAGGCAACACTAGCCTGCAAACAAATAAAAAGGCACTCAAGATCAGGTTACACGAAAGAGAGAAACACTAGGACAAAAATCATCAAGGACCTGGACACTTACAGTAGCCGAGGCCTGGAGAGCCTTGAGCTCGAGGGTTTCGTCCCCAAACCGGCTGAGAGTAGACCGATCCAGAGGGGGGGTGGCACCTCTCAGAAACTCCCTCGGATCGAGGGTGCCGTGCATAAGGGCAGTCCCCTTCTTGATGGGGAACTGCACGGTCTCTAAGGGCCAGGCACCCTCGTCAAAATCATCCAGCGGAGCGAAGGCCGATGGCTGGCTGGTGGGGGGGGTCGTCAATGATCACTACCGGGGGAGCCTTCTGACCGACATCCCCCTTTGACTTCTTCTTTTTCGGAGGCTTCATGCCCTTCCCGACATTCTTTCTCTTCAGCTCCCCCGCCTGGGAGCCTCCTGGGAGGGTCCCTGGCCCTCGGGAGCCTTGTCCTTTTTGAAAAAGGAATCGACGGGTACTTGGGTTGAAGGCCCCTCCTCCTTCTTCTTCTTTTCATCCTTCGCCAGTTGCTTGGATAACTTCGCAAATGCCTTGGGGTCCATGATGTCACCTGCAAAAGACAAGAAGAATTAGTATCAAAGAAGAGATCCCTCGGCAACAACCTCCGGCATTTTGGTACCCTCGGTTAATCGAAGGATACTCCTCTTCCTCCTCCCCCTCCAGCCGGAACCGACGGAAGGACAATCGATAGAGCTCTTCTGGGAGGGTTGCAGCTTTTATGGTTATCAGCTTATCGGAGCCTGCAGGTTTAGCCTTCAGCTTCTTCCCTGCCGCCTCCAGAGCAGCACTCCCTACTTTCATATGCCTCCGAAAGTGATTGCGGAGAGGCCTCGGGAATCCATTCCCCGGCATCCTAACATAGCAGAATCGGTCCCTCCACAATTTATGAGATGAGGGCACCTCCGAGAACAGCCTCCATGCCGGCACCTGTTGAAGGTTGGCGAATCCCTCGCTGTTGGCGGCTCCCCCTCGGCAGAGATTAAAAGACATGAAGAACTGCTCCAGAGAAGGCTCCACCCCCCGACTCCGGCACAGCGAGAGGAACCCGGCGATATAAGAGTGGCTATTGGGGGTCAGTTGGCAGGGAGCCAACCCCAGGAACTTGAGGTACTCCAGTAGAAACGGATGGAGTGGGAACCGGAGGCCCAACTCCACCGAGAGCACGTGCACTGCAAAACAACCTTCGGGGGGGCTGGATAATAGGTCTTCCGGGCCCGGCTCCACCACTTGGGCCGAAGGCCCCACCAGTATCTGCGTGGCCTGACAATCAGAGGGCGTGGCCGTTGTCTTCAAGTCGAGGGCGGCGGTGTTGAGGTATGAGTGACCCTCGGGGATCCCCACTGGTTGCCCCGCGTCAACAGCAGCCTTCTTCTTCTTCCTGGAAGGTCCCTCGGCGTTCCGCTGCCTCCTCTTCTTACCTGAAGCTACCCGGAGGGGAACAACGTCAATCGGCCGGGAGCTACTCGCTTCACCAGCATTTCGCGAGGGCAGAACAGCAACCGTGACTTGTTGCCTCTCCTTCTCTTCTTCTTCCTCTGCTACCTGAAGCGCGAGGGCCATCTCTTCGTCCTCAGCCACTTGCTCAAACTCCTCCGCCTCAAGCTCCACCCGAAGGGTACTCTGCACCTCTTGGGCCACTGCCAAGTCATCACCAGCTGATGACGACTGCCCGCTGGAGGACTCCACGTCCGAAAGACTCTCAGATTGAACCGGGACCTCCTCCAATACGTTTTGCGAATCGCTCTCAGAGGACATGATTACAAGGGGTTGAAGAGATCGAAAGAAGAGGGCTATTCGAAAACTCTAGCCGAAGGCTGCTAAGGTCACTAACACTAAATCTAAGAAACTGGCAAAGTATGCTGAGAGAATCAAAGGGCTAAGGAAATACTGACCTCAAAGGTTGGTTTTGATCGAAGGGGTTACTTTCTCTCTCTAGAAAATTCGGCAGAGCTCCGCTATGACTCAGAAACACACAGGAGAAAATGGCCTTAGCAAGGGGTATTTATAGGCTTTCAGCCTCGACAACTGGGCCTCGATTTTAAAAAGGCCATCATTACGGGCCGCCGGTTCAACCAATGGGTGGCACCCGCCCCCCATCATCCAACGACAAAGCGACACGTGGAAGCCTCTTCCAACGGCTCTATTGCAACGGCTATATTCACCGAACATTAGGTGGCCCTCAGACGATAGCCTCCGGTTATCACTCACCGCAGCCTTCAGGCAACGAATTCCACCAAACGCCTTCGAGCCCGTAGCAGCATAAGCCTTCGGCTTATCAATGTTACCACCCCTCGGGGGCTCATCAACTCATCACAACTCCTTCAGCCCGAACTCGCCATCGGCCTAAAGGAGTGGGGGACTAGGATACACCCCTCGGGCATCACAGCAGAACAAAATACAAAATTTCCTCAAGCGAAAAATCGACAAGTGACGCATATAGCCTCCGGGCGAACATCAGAATAAAAACCCTCGGGCACATACTTCAATATACCCTTCGGCAGAGGCAGAGTATCAGTATTTTTCCCAAGTCACTTGCGAAAATAAAGCAGCTCTCATAACAACACATACGGGCAATACATCTATACTCTTCCTCAGGAAACCCTCGACATGTGGGGGACTGAGAAAAGCCTTCGGCAGTCATACAGGTGTTATACTTCCCTCAGAAAACCCTCGACATGTGAGGGACTGAGGGAAGCCTTCGGCACTCAGCAGAAGACAAGTTCTCGAACAAAGGCGCCCAACTAAATGATGAAGCCTCCAGAAGAATCAACACATCTACTCCTTTTCCCTCAAGTACCTTTCGGCAAAAGGAGTGAGGGACTCCTGATGGAGTATATGGCCCAGGAACCCCCGGCCCATAGACTCCTACTTCTCCTACACAAGTCCATTGAGCTCAGGAAACAACTCAGGCCCGAATAAAACGGCCCAAGCCTCAAAGTAGCCCAAAATACATACTGGGGTGCCTTCGGCCTCCTTGGCCGAAGGCTCCAAAACTCACAAAATAGCCTTCTCTGGCATAAGAAGCTACTGGGAGAAAACGGCAAAAAACATGAGCCTTCGGCACTATCAAGCCCTCGGCATCAGAGAGGCCTTCAGCTGAACCAAGCTTTCGGTCACACAAGGCCTTCGGCTACACAGGGGCCTTGGTTACATGGAGCCCTCGGCTACACAAGGAGCCTTCGGCCAAACACGCTCAGTCATCAAAAGATTCCTTTTAGAGACAGCCAACCACCGCATTTAATGCCACGTCACATCCGCCAACCGCATTCAATGCGGTGGACGCACCACTGTCGGTGCCAACCGGCTGATGTGACCCTTCGGCCGTTGGATTACTGACACGTGTCCTCTCATCGCATTTATTGCTGCTATAAATAGCAGCCCATTTCTTCTTGTAAACGATCCCAACTCCACATCTCGAGTTCATTCAATAAATCGACTCTCTCTCCTCCTATTTGCTCTGACTTCTCTCTAGTTATTCCCGCAATAACCCCTCGGATAAGATACCCCCCTGGGTAGACTATCCATCAGATAGCATTCTATTTTCCAATTTGCAGAATGGTATATTATATAACTCCTAAAATATACATTATGTTGAAAACATTCTACAAAATTCATTAAAAAAAATGAGTGTTGGCCATATAACATTCCCGCAACGCGGCGGTCAATTTTCTAGTAGAATAGATGTGTATGTTGACTAAAATCACACAATTATTGCCGGTCAAGTGATTTCCAAATTGAGATATTTATGCATGATGACTAAAACACCCAATATTAAATGATTAAAGTGTTGTGCGGCTGTAAAGAAATTGACGACTAGGATGTGTTCTTATTTCTCACGTTAAACATTGTTCTCATTTGAACATATATATATATATATATATATATATATATATATATATATATGTATGTATATGTATATGTATATGTATATGTATATGTATATGTATATGTATATGTATATGTATATGTATATGTATATGTATATGTATATGTATATGTATATGTATATGTATACACACACACACATCTTAAAAACTTATAATTGTCAATGAAGGTTAGGGTATTTTAGGGATAGAAAAAATGTTGGTGTAATCATCCAGCTTTAAGAGGTTGTACCATGTGTTCTACTGTGTGTACTCTCTTAAAGGAATCGATTTTCCCGTTTACTTTCCGTCGCATAACTCCTGTCTATTCCACTGTCTTCTTATCTGCCCTTCATTTTCGACATCCCGCTCATTAATCGGACCCTAGCCTGTTAAGACGCGGGTGGTCCTACGCGGCCTAGCCTCAACGAAGTGCCTCCCATGGTCTCCGTCTTCTCACGCCCGCACCATTTGAGCGCAAGTTGAGAGTTCCTCTCTCCCTTGATATCTGACCTTGGTTCTTGGCTGCTATGGGGCTTACCATTGTTTGTATTTGTGCGTTCTGATTCCGGTTTGTTCTGTTTATTGGTCGGGAATTGTTCCTTAACCCATTTCTGACTTTCGATTCCAAATTGGAAGGAAGATATACTGTCAAAAACTCAGAAAGCGAGCTCTTTATCACGGATTTTACTGCTGACTTTGTATTTGAGTTTGGGTTTGCGTTTCGAATTTGACAATTGTTTCAACGATTTGAGTCTGGTTTTGTGTTCTCCATCACTGGAGTACTGGACGCACCTCCAATATTGTTTTCCGGAGAGTGGAGACGGCTGGAATCCGAAAAACCACTTTCACAAGTGAGTGGTTTTACTGTCACGCCTGCATATTCACGTTTTCTTCGCTCTTGACCTCTGAAATCGAATTTCTGAAAATGGATTGAGAGTCGTCAGGCACTGGTGAGCTGTTGGAAACGGAGATTTATATATATCGGGTTTGTTAATTCTAGCCTAAACAGGGGGATACATTACTGAAATTCCTGCTAAGCTACTGCTGTAATGGCAAGGAAGAAACAATCTTCTGGTGAATCCTCGACGCGACTGAACATGTCCCGATTTGCTATTCTTGAAGAAAGTGATGAGGAGTTCCCAGCTCTTCCTATTGCTGGTAGTGCACGGGTTTGTAGCTTTGCCAAACATCCTGGACGGGCTGCTGGGATTGCTGGTATTGAAGTCCCTAGAGCTGGACAAGTTACAGGGACTGCTAGGAAGAATGTTTTCAACGTTGAAATTGAATTGTCGGAACCTGGGAAAGCCTTGATGGTTGAAT